TGCTACATCGTAATAACGAGATAAAATTTTATTTTTCTCGAAAAACGAACTTCGCTACATCGTAATAACGAGATAAAAATTTTTATTTTTTTACAAAGCGTGGCCCTATTAGGCTTCCGTAGAAAACGCCAAAAACAGACACCAGCAAAATCCAGAACTGCAGCGAATGATGTCACCGGCAGAAATAAAGCCGAAGACATCAAAAATTCAAAGCTGCCAGCGCTTTCTAGCAGTCATTGTAACAAAGCTTTCTATTGGTCGGTAAACTTTCTATCGCGCAACCACGTGACATACACGGTTATGTATAGAATTACTACATGGTATTGTAGAGGGAGGAATGTCGAAACGGAACAACACCATACAGTGCAATACTTTGGATACAATACAATATTTTGGGCCACTGTATGTCAAAAACAGAAGAGGGGTCATTCGGCGATATGGGTGCGTGCTCGTCTACATGGCTACTCGAAGTAGCCCAGGATTTATCCATAGATACCTTCTTTCAGTGTGGTGATTTTTTAGTCAGCTTGGACCACCTACACAGCACTACAGTGATAATTGAACCAACTTCCGGGAATGAACTGAAGCGGGTGAATGTAAAATAGTACCAAGGTCTTATCAATGATAGACTTAGCAGACGAAATATCTAGTAGCATTTAAATCCTGTAGCTGCAAGTCATGCAGGTGGAGATTGGAAGAAAATGATTCATTCAATTATAAAGATTTTGCAATATTTACTGGGAAACAGATTGGTGGATGATAAACATAGCTTACGTACATCTCTATGTCAGCATCTAGTGGAAGTACTCACAAGAACGTAATGGGTTTTACTTAATTTGTCAGCAAATATCTACCCAAAGTTTATTCACCTCAAGTAATGTCGTCATTGACTACACGTACTATATTACAAACAGACAGGTTTCTTCTCGTTCTGCACAATTTCTTCTTTTCTTGAAGGCTTGGTAAGTACTCATCCACCGTTCCCAAAACTCAGTAGCAGGTTGTTTGGTTCTTCTTTTTTAATGATCATTTTCTTTGTAATTTTTACTCACTGGTGTACAAGGCAACACTAAATTGTTTGATGTGAGGTGCTCATGGTTTGTTTGGTAATAGCAGGTGCGTTATGATATATTGTTATCCGGTGTTACATCTACAAGTGAAAAGGTCATTTGTGTATGATTCAAAACCACAACCTTCAATACACAGCGGTGATATAATAACCCCTACACCAGCCAGGCAACTCCACAATCAATGGAGAAAACTTCGATGCATAGGACTAGCCATGGCATTCCCACATTGAACAAAGTGTGTACTCTTTCCACTATGCACATTTCTAAATCGTTATTGGCCAATGTCTACTCTGTCTGCAAACGTCAACGTAGAGAAAATATCGCGTTATTTTTATAAATAATTATATACCCGAATCATGATCAGGACACATAATGCTTGAATAATACCTGACACGCATAAATATATTGTGTCCTCAAATTCAAGATTCTGGTTGTTTTATAGCGCGGAGACGGATGTATAATTATAGAAATCGTATATATACATTGTAAATGGTCAAGTTATTCGTATTTAAACTGTAAGTATTGTAAAATAAACACTAGTGGATATCGTCATTGGCAACAGACGGCTTTATTTTATCCAAAATATATAACAAAATATAGAAAACTGTATTAACATAGTAACATGTAGGCTAAGAACAGTGTTATATTATTGGGGAGGGGCAAGGGGTAGCTGGTACAGTTTTAAGGGAAATAAAAAGGGCTTTTTACAATTTACAAGGAAAAAGTTTTTACAGTTTACAGTGAAAATTGAATTTTGCAGTGAATTGTGTCATCTAGTCGTTTTACAGTTTCGGAAATGTACCGAGAAAAATGACACATTTTTACAGTGTACAAAAAAAAATATTTGATTGATTACATTGTACGTCTAGCCTGTGAGTACATAATTACAGAATATATTGCAATTACGTTGAACGAAAATAACCCTTGTCCCCCCTCATTATTGCTGTTAGTATGTAAATATTGGTAACAATTAGTAAATTGCGTGCATATAATTTATATTATATAATTTTTAAAAGTTTATATTAGGGTCAGTTTAGTGGAGTACTCTACAGAAAGCAACCCAATTTATCATTACATCGACCATATGTACACGATGATTAAAGTAAGAACTCGTGAAAACATATTCACGACAATTCCAACAGCGCCATCAGCAGGTCCATCATCATTATTATCCTCCAAATCACACTGTCTGTTATAATCCGGCAGTGTTTCTCTTATTGGAGTTGGAATGAAATACGAATTCTGAAGGAAAACACAATAAAATAGATTTTGGTCAAATACATACATTCGTAGTCACGTGATTCTTATAGAGTAGAAATGTATTAAAATTCATTAACTATAACGGTATTATTCGTGATAACTTTGCGTAGACAATGAAAAATACTGTGTACTTACCGCAGTAAATTTAGTTGGTGGACAATATTCAAACATTAGTCCATTGTCGTACTTGGCTTGAAAATCCAATTTAATCTCATCAGTCCAGTTCATATAGTCCAAGTATTCAAACATGGATTTGTTTGCATGTTGTTCAGGTGCTCTGATACGGTAGTTATCTCTAAGAACAATGTTAGGTGTTCATAACTAGTAAGACTCGCCTAGTGATTTTCGAGTAATTAGAATACTCTATTGCAAAATACATTAAATGTCCGAGTGTGACTCGTTTTCGTATTATTTGAGTATTATACATATTTCATGACACTGAATCACTAACAAGGATTCACTAAGAAAAACCCATAAAAGGCTGGGTTCAAACTCCAAGCTCGAACAACATGCCATGTGACAGACACGCTTGTGGCAATTATACGTGTAATAACGGTCTCATTCCGTAATCAGGCCTCTAGAAATGTGACAGGAATAAGTAAGCATGTTTGGTTACTCAAGGAAAATAGTATTAAGTATAGAATAACATGGACAATTCTTGCTCACTGTAGCCCATACAATAGCCTGGCAAACGATGCATTTTAAGTTTGAAGAAAAATTTGTTCATATTTTTTAGACTCAACCACTCCACACTGAACATAAGAAATAAACTCGTATCGTCATGTCGACACAGATCAAATGCACTATTATGTCACACTTACCAGAATTAGAAAATCAATTTACGTAAATTTGCAGGAAAGTTTTACCAAATTTAAGATAACTGATGCGATTAACGCATTTCACTCAAGCAGCCTGGGCTTTAGATTCTTCTTCCTCTTGGGAAAAGAATAACCATGCTAATTGGAAATTTATCAAAACAATTTCGACGTATAGGAAGGAATTCAGGGGGAACCTAGTCTAATAATTTTGCTCAAGTATAAATGTTACTTTTCTTTTTGTTATTGTTTATGTTGATGTTGTGATTTTTCTTGTAAACAACTTGTAAGCTATTTCAAAGGCGAATAAATATTATTATTATTATTATAAACCGGTATAGGTGTGAATTGATATGTTAATTTACGAAGTTTATAATGTATGCTTGTTGGTGCAGTGAGGTATTAAACAAAAAGCTCCTGGTGATATTATACTTAACATGTGAATTGATGGGTATTTCAATGTACTTACGGGTTTATTTCAACATTGACTGCCTCAGCTATAGTTGTAGGAGCAAGAGAACTCACGCACACTGTGAACGCAGATCTTGGGTAGGCATACATAAAAACAAGACACATTTCATCATTTGTACCAAGGCCGCCCTAAATATGAACAATAATGGGATATCACCGTGAACATAATATTCAGAAACAACTAATTGAATGCTTAGAAGCTGTGTATTTAAAATTGTATGTCTGAGGTCATGCCATGGAAACCGTATTATGCAAGTTGACACTTTATAACATAGAAGCGAAAGAATGTAAATAGGGTAGTCACATGGTTACCATATAATGCGATGGAACGCATTGCAGCAGCCATTAACTATTCAGTAAATAACACTGTCAAGTTCAAAATCTACAACACACGTGCTGTGTTTGAAAGTGTGTGGAATAATTTAGGAGTGGGTCGTGATTGGCACAACTCTACACGTTTTTTTTTTCTCTTCGTGTTCTATGAGAAGATATCATGTACCTCGATTTGAATCTATCTTGTGTAAGACTATATGAATACAGAGCATGCGCACATAAAGGTAACTCACGTATACGGGACTGCTTTTGCCCATTGTTTCATAATCGCATTCAACCATCAGGCTATCACCCTATAATTACGAAAGTAATACAATTTACCCAGCATGCAGTAGGATTTCAATGGATTATATACACATTTTACACGGTCTTTGACATTGTCGTAGCAATACATGTCGGTAATATAATACAATATGTGTCACTTTTCTGAGTACGATTCAGATTACTGGTTAGTAGAAATAATAAATGAATATATAATTATGTAAATGAATATGTTTATATACATATTATTTTTCATCTTTTACTCGTGTAGTCTGGAATAAAATGTATTTTTTTACTCGTTGTTGGCGTACCTGGTGATATCGAAGGAGCTGTTTGTTGACAATCAGATATTGATTTCAGGTTTGCATGGTAAAGCAAGAGATAATGAATCCAAGCGAATGAAAACAAAATCATTATATTTACCGCTTTTAAAATAACTTCAGGTGTTAATTGATGAAGTTCCTGATAGTTAAAATCATAGTAATCGTCTTTTATAATATTAGGAAGCTCGATGCCGTCTCTAATATGGCGAAGGCGGATGGCTCTTCCGGCTAAATGGCTGTGCAGGAATCCTGCAAACATATGCAAGTCGGTTGTTTCATTTGTAGAATGATCTGCCAGGGCCTGTAATGTATAATAATTTCAATTGAAAACAAACACAATGTATGCATTGCAACAGTAAAGTTAATAAGTACGAGTCCATCGGGTCTACGGTTGTGAGGTGACTTGTGATGCTAACGACATAGTGCTCCGCTACGTCTTCGGATCTGTGGTTGGGAGGTGGATGATGCTAACTGCATTGTAATACGGTAGACCATCGAGTCTGTGGTTGTAAGATGACTGGCATTATTAAGTGCATAGTGTAATTCTTAGATATAAATGTATACAACTGTGTATTGTAAAACGCTATTGCAAATCAGACCTTGCGCTTCCGCTAAGACGGCGCCGCCGTAAAGGTGCAACGCCTGGAGCCTCAACAAGTCAGAAGATGCAGTGTAATAGTAATTGCTAAGACACTAGTCAAATTATATATTGACTACCCAAATCTGGGGGTATGGTGATATTGTAACCGGTATTGCTAACATGCCTGGTCGCAAAAATCGAGTTATAACATGCTGACTACTTACAACAGGGAATGTAGAAATATTGAAACCAGTATTGTTAAGTGACTGAACGGAAATGTTATATTAAACATGTTGTCTACTTACATTACGGGTACATGCACCGGAGCAATACGATTTTGTGGTGAATTTTCTCATTCCTGGTGGAATAATTTGAATTGACTGAACGAGGTGACCAATGAGAAGCATTGTTGCATCAAATTCCCTCAGTTTTGAAGTATAATAGATCCTGATACCAGAGCTGTCAATGAAAGCTGAAAAACAAAATGAGAATAAAACGTCAAATGTATTGGTCATTATGGTAATGTTATAAATAATTATTCATATTAAATTACATAGTCTTCACAAATAACAACTTACTGCTCTTGTATTCAGGGTTGTCATAGTGGGTCTCCATCATAACGAATGTGGGATCCCCATCATCTCCCAGAGAGAATCCTGCAGCATCCGGGAAGAAGAATGGCTGTCAATAAAATGATTGTATTAATTGAATAAGTTCATCAGTTAACAGTAATTTTAAACTTAATTCAAACAAAACAATATCAAGTGGTGAATAATAGTAAATTCATTTCATACCAATATGAAAGTAAAATGCTCTTCATACGTTTACATAACAATAAATGCAGTCTGCACTCACCCCTCCTCCGACAGCCCAAGCTATAATGGTAGTTATGCAGTTATCAAATGCAGGCGGCATATTGGGTGTACGGCATTCGCCCTCAGTACCATGGTATGATTCATTTAAGCCACCATGGCACATGTAAACTACAATGTGGTGTACCAATGCTTCATTACCATGTTGTATAACAGGTTCATACTAAATATAATATATAATTTGCTTACTATTGTTATAATGAATATTTAATCACGGAAATTTGAAGCATATGCATATGCAGTGCATATATTGTGATTCTGGTTATTCCAGTTCTGATATATTATACTATTTCAAAAAACGAGACACAATACCATTTCGACATAGAATATATATCTTACGCGATGAGCGATTATATTGGCGCGTCATCTGAAAGATACTTGTAAGATACCACTTTTATATCAAAGATTGTACACAAGGGAGCAATCTACTGTAGACAATAAATATTCAATTCATACCATTATCATGTGATGTTTACCATTCAATCTTGGGATAGCGAATCCTTTGCAGTAATATGTTGTATCTTGGCGCCAGGGAACACTTACCTAAAAAAGAAATCGAGATATCAAAGAAATAAAAGTAATTAATCTCCATTATTTCATTATTGCTTTACAATGGAGGGGGATTCCTCGACAACTGTTAATAAGAGAGAGAAGGAGAGAGGGGGAGATTTCTCGAGTCGTCGCAAATATCAGAGGAACTAGGATTAGGTTGAAGAATAACCATCAAGCAAGACCATAACACCTTCCAGTATTTTCTACTGGACTTTCAGAACGACATTTTTCTCCAATGGTGATATCTATCTATAATTTAAAAGTTAGAATACAACTTCTTCCAAAATTTGATGCATTGCATACCCCCGGTGCATATGTAATATAAGAATAATGTTGTCCACTAGGAGAGAACATGCACTGACAGGCTTGCCAGACGATATTCTCTCCATAGCTGTTTAACCTGCACGATTGTATTTTGGTTTGCAATGGTGTTCTGTGTGGAATATATATAAGCTGCAGCTGAGTTCGAACACTAGCTTGCCATATAAACAGAAATATTATTGTACTATTTAAACTTATCGGGAAACAATCATAATATTACTACTTTTCACTATTTGTCATTAGTGAATATGCCGAGTGATCGGTTGGCTCCGCTCAGGTGTTACCGGTGGTAAATGTTATAAGATGAAATCTGGAAAATTAACACGCCCCTTTACATAATTAACGGTAAAGATAAATAAAAACAATATGCAAATGATGATTCAGTGGTCTGACCGCGAGTGGGAAGCTGTAAAACAGGATAAACAGATGCAAATATGGCCAGCAACCGCAAGAGTGTTATTATGTAATTCTGAGAGAGTGATGTGTGCCGGCACCCATGTAATTCAACGAGTTGTCCTTAAGATCCTTGTAGCATCTAGGATCATACCCTGCCACGTGTCCGGCGCGTCACTGAAATAATCTGTGAACACTTTGTTGAGTCCATGGCACACTCAATAAGGATACAAGCCAGTCTATTGCATAATAACACCATCATCGTACTGTCAATACAAGGATATTCATCGTACTGCCAATACAAGGATATTCAATAATTGCATCCATCAAATAGATGACTTACATTCTCATTCAGTAACTCAATGACATTAGCGTTCTCTTCCTCCAAGCTGGGAAACAAATCAGGTGATACTGACATCAAATACATGCTTCGTCCTCCTCGCCTCTCGCGACCATGCCATGGCAACGGCTGGCCATCTTCTGGTTTGTCAGGATGGTAGGCCCAAATAAGTCTCATGGTGTCAGACTAATGGATACAAAAGTTAAATATGTAACCAATTACGTCAGCAATTCATGTTATTATCAGCAGCCATTGTTAATGTACAGTAAGTATCGTGTTTAGATGTGCTACGTCATTCCTAATGGTGCGTTCCTCCCAAACATCGTGTTGGTGAATTTGTCTTAATTATTATGAAATAGATAAAACAAACCGTTATTATTCTGTCCTGCCCGTCATCACAGGTGTCAAGTTTTCTTTCAAATTTCAATATGGTGTATTCATCCTCTTCCCTTCCATACAACAGAATATAGTCCTGTTTTTCATCAATTCGTGGTTCCCCGTAATGACTTGCATGGCGATCCTGGATAGTCAGACAAAATTAATTTGGTGACAAGAGTTTGACTGGCAATATTCTCTTTAAATATATCGAATAGCTTATTTTTATAAATTGCAAAAACACACAAACTCGAATGTGTGCCTCGTCGCACAGGCGTACGCCGATAAGTACAATTTCGGATAATAATAAACTCATCATGTACTATCTGAAACGTGTTTGTATTTCAGAGCATGATTCAGGTGTTATGTCGTCCCACCTATACATTCTGTAGTTGCGTATTACTGTTATGTAGTCACGTATTTATGTTATGTAGTTACGTATTTATGTTATGTGGTTACGTATTAATGTTATGTAGTCACGAATTTACATCATATAGTCACGTGTTTATGTTATGTATTCCCGACTTTACATTATGTAGTCACGTGTTTATGTTATGTCGTCAAGAGTTTACATTATGTAGTCACGTGTTTATGTCATGTCGTCAAGAGTTTACATTATGTAATCACGTGTTTATGTTATGTCGTCCAGAGTTTACATTATGTAGTCACGTATTTATGTTAGGTCGTCCCGACTTTACATTATCTAGTCACTAATTTATGTTATGTCGTTCCGACTTTACATTATGTAGTTACGTGTTTATGTTATGTCGTCCAGAGTTTATATTATGTAGTCATGTGTTTATGTTATGTCGTCCAGAGTTTACATTATGTAGTCACGTGTTTATGTTATGTCGTTCCGACTTTACATTATGTAGTTGCGTGTTAATGTTATGTAGTCACGTATTTATGTTATGTGGTTACGTATTAATGTTATGTAGTCACGTATTTACATCATATAGTCACGTGTTTATGTTATGCATTCTAGTCATTAATTTATGTTATGTCGTTCCGACTTTACATTATGTAGTCACGTGTTTATGTTATGTCGTCCAGAGTTTACATTATGTAGTCACGTATTTATGTTAGGTCGTCCCGACTTTACATTATCTAGTCACTAATTTATGTTATGTCGTCCCGACTTTACATTATGTAGTTACGTGTTTATGTTATGTCGCCAGAGTTTACATTATGTAGTCATGTGTTTATGTTATGTCGTCCAGAGTTTACATTATGTAGTCACGTGTTTATGTTATGTCGTTCCGACTTTACATTATGTAGTCACGTG